TCTGTGGTGAAAGTTGTCTTAGGTTCTCACGTAGACATGGAGGAAAGGGAGTGTACCATCGACGCCTAGTTCATGAGTAAAGTTAACTCGGAAAAGTTGATCCTTTAGTAGCGACAATTCTAGGAGGTTTTTTTTCACAAATACGAATATATTATCGATGTATCTGCAGTAGATGCAAAGTTTCCCTGTGGTATTGAAGGTTTTCTAGTGTTCATATTTAGAGTACCAATGGGCTTTATTTATATTTTTAATACAAAAAAATGAATTAATATAATGTTTCGATTATTTCTAAATGGGCCCAAAAATGTATTCCCCTAAATAAATGCACATTATTATCATTATGATTGACTAAATCTAGTCCTTGCAGGCGAAATCAGTTGTGAACGCCAGCTAGCGCACAAGTACAAGAGCGCCCAAAATTACCACATAAGACATGGAGAGACAGGCGTGTAGCTTCTGACTTTGTTTTTATTAATTAATATTACATGTTAAGCGTTTACTCTTAATACATATTAATATATATAAGTATAACTATCACACAGTAAATGTAATAGGAGTCTACCCAAAAACTGGCCACAGTCAAGTGTTTTGTGCGTTCGACCATGTTTGTGGGCCTTCAGATACTAAGTGTAAACACTGGCGGGCGTCGTTCTTATGAAGCCAAGATTATGTCCATCACATCACTCAACTTCATTTAATAACTATATGCCTGTTAACGAGGGTTGTAATATTGTAAAATATATATGCGAACAAGCCTGAATGGTCCCCAGGCATATATGCAACTAAAAACTCCACACCCCCAGAAGTGACTCGAACCCATAATGCCAGGTGCACTATGCAACTGGTGTACAGAAGACCTTAACCACTCGACCATCACGACCGTACAAAAGACAATGGTAGCCGAGGCTATTTGCCCATCATCCCGACGGCACTATGATGGTAATCTTGGGCATAGTTATTTTATCAAATCACTTCATTTTTTGGAGCCACGTAAGCAAAACAAATTAGCAACACAAATTAAGTTAGGTTCTTTTAACTTGTTCTTATACAATTTAATGAATAAAAGGCTTTCCTAATGTGACGATGTCTATTGAATTTTGTAACTAGCTCATCAAGATTGTTACTTGCTTAGCTAAATTAATTGTGGGGTTCAGTCCCTGAGCCCAGTATGTGCCTCTGTAACCCTTTCCACTACTGCCCACAAGATAGGTATGGGGTGCATAATAAATGAACTAGACCAGCCTGCCTTTACATCTTTATATTATGATAATCACATCAACATATCAGCATTAAGATCAGTGTGAAATTCCTGTTTTGGCCAGAATGTCTACCAATCAGCATGAGTGGACTTTTTAATGTTTTTTTTCGGCAGCATTATTTCCTCAGTTTCTGAACTGGTTTCTTTAGCTTCTATGTTGTAATAAACTATTCCAAAGTTTACAGTTGTTCTTCCTTGTGAAGATTTAACAAAAAATTGTGCTTGTAAGGGTGATAAAGTTCAGCCCCGGCAGCACCCAGTCTTACTCCAGTGAAGAGCAGAGGTGCCAAGGGCACACTCAGAGAACACTATATGAACATCAGAGGTCCACGGTTGTTCAACGTCCTACCAGCGAGCATCAGAAATATTACAGGAACAACCGTGGACATCTTCAGGAGGAAACTAGATTATTTTCTTCAAGGAGTGCCGGACCAACCGGGCTGTGGTGGGTATGTGGGCCTGCGGGCCGCTCCAAGCAACAGCCTGTTGGACCAAACTCTCACAAACTCTCAGTTTAGCAGTCTCCGTGGTGTAGTGGTAAGACACTCGCCTGGCGTTCCGCGAGCGCTATGTCATGGGTTCGTATCCTGGCCGGGGAGGATCTACTGGGCGCAATTCCTTAACTGTAGCCTCTGTTTAACGCAACAGTAAAATGTGTACTTGGATGAAAAAACGATTCTTCGCGGCAGGGGATCGTATTCCAGGGACCATAGGATTAAGGACTTGCCCGAAACGCTACGCGTACTAGTGGCTGTACAAGAATGTAACAACTCTTGTATATATCTCAAAAAAAAAAAAAAAAAAAAAAAAAGTCAAGTCTGGCCCCGGCCGGGCTATACACTGGCTGCCTGTCCCCTACAAAATGATTTATTATATTAACTACTATATACAGTATACCTGGCTAAAGCGAACACAGTACAGTTTCGTCATAAGAGATTCCTACATTGGAATTTATTACCAAATTTCAATATATCAAAGTATTTTTAGTGTGAAATGCTGTTATTTTATGCATCATTTGTTATTTTAATAATATTTCGGCCATCTCAACAAAGAACAGTTCATCCTAAGCAGACGTTATATAATAATATTCTCAACGGCAGATAAAAGAAAAGTAATTGTTACCTAATACCAGAATAGTATAAAATTTAATATAAGCTACGGGATTTGCAGATCAGTGTTTAAAAGGAAATCGGAAGTAATAATGATACAGCTGATGCCATCTGTCGGCAAAAGAGAACACTAACAACTAGCTGGTCAATAGTAGCCATAAGATACAGCTTACGCCATCTGTTGACATCAAATTACACTTATAACAAATTACCCCACAAAATACAACTAGCGCCATCTCTTTTTTTTCCAACGCACTATAAATAGCCAAACAGCAACCCATAAGGCGGGTTGTTGTGCTCGGGTAGGAGGTTCCAAGCTCCGCCCCAAGATGGTATGGGGTGCATAATAAATGGCATATTATTGGTAGATATTCTTTGTTGACATTCGCACAACAGCCAATCACAGGAAGGGATCAGGTAAAGGCTCCACCCACTTAATAAATCATCTTTATTCAGCACACCATCCTTGCTTATGATATTCTGTTTCAACTTTAATCGACCTAAAAAGTGAAGGGTTAAGTATTTATAAGCATTAATAAAGTGATAATTAAATATTGCAGGATGTAACGGGTGTTACAGAAACATGGGTTGGCTACCTGACTTGTGACGTCATCAGTGGGGGTTGCCTCACGCAATTAATATTGATGATACAATGATCCGTTCTCTAATTGAACTCGATTATTCAGTTAGATGGAAATTTCTGTCTTGTACATAACGAAGAGATTGTGTTTGGAATAAAGAGATTATTGTGCAAAAAGACTTATTTCTTAGTTTGCATATAATTTATAGAAAGAGTGTTGGCATTCCCAGCAACAGCCAATCACAGGAAGGTATTTGCTAAAAGTTCGTCTCCTTATTGACGTCCTCAGGAGCGACACACAGATCTAGCTTATGGCTTTCTGTTTCATCTCTTGTATATAAAAAATGTGAATATTTCGATTACTATGATTATTAAATGTATGAGATTATAACAGTTGTTACACAAAATGGCTAAATTTTGCCATTAAAAAGAGCTCATGGTGGATTTTGTAATAGGTTTTTATGGAAAGGGAGTTATACAATTTTTTTAAATATCTTCTGATATGGATGCTACTCTATCTCAAAGGAATACAGTAGCTTAGGCTATTTCTGCCCCCCTCTTCTTCAAGTCCGTCAAGGAACTCACAAATTCAGTGAGTACAAATACACAAATCACTCAATGAACACTTTAATCTTTTCCTCTCTTACCACGCCTATTATATTTTATTAATTTAGTTTTACTTGATTTTATTGCAATGCTACAGTTTACAGAGAACACATACTTATATAACAATCAGTGTTTGAAGACCTCGTCCAGCTCTTCGGAGGTCCGGTGCGTACCCTAGATACAGCACGCATTTCCCCTCTGAACTGCGACACTGAGGCGCTTCAACATGAAATTGGCCGCTCTTGAGTCTCTAGTTTTCCCAATGAGGCCCTCACCCACCTCTTTTATATATATTATATATATATATATATATATATATATATATATATATATATATATATATATATATATATATATATATATATATATTTTTTTTTTTTTTTTTTTTTTTTTCTTGGCATTACTTGGTGCAATATGCAATATTTACAAGTTGTCTATCTAGTATCCTAATATCTATCAATAGATAAACCCCACACTAGAAATGGTATCTGACAGAACATCAGGTTATGACATTCTGTTTCAGCTCCGGTGCTTCGCGAGAGCTTTGACCTGGGGTTTGTACTCCGGCCAGGGGAAAATTGATGTGGGCGCTAATCTTTAACTGCAGCCTCTGTTCACCCAGCAGTACTCACCTAGTTGTGCTTGCGGGGGTTGAGCTTTGGCTCTTTGGTCCCGCCTCTCAACCGTCAATCAACTGGTGTACAGATTTTTGAGCCTACTGGGCTCTCTCATATCTAAATTTGAAACTGTGTATGGAGTCTGCCTCCACCACATCATCACTTCACCTTTTGTTAACTACTCTGACACTGAAAAAAGATTCTTTCTAGTGTCTCTATGGCTCGTTTGCGTACTAAATTTCCACCTGTGTCCCCTTGTGCGTGTTCCACCTGTGTCCCCTTGTGCGTGTTCCACCTGTGCTAAATAGTTTGTCTTTGTCCACTCTGTCAATTCCATGTCACCATGGAATTGTCTGATGTCTCCTCCTACTCTTCTGTCTTCCAGGGATGTGAGATTCAGCGCCCTTAGCATTTCCTCGTAGCTCATATCTCTCAGTTCTAGGACTAGTCTGGTGGCATACCTCTGAAACAGTGCATGGGTTGTTTTAAGCGATTTAGCGGGTCTTATTCCGGGAAAAAAATAGGATTAAGGACCTGCCCGAAACGCTATTCGTGCCAGTGGCTTTACAAGGGCATAAGAACTATTGTATATATAAATAAAAAAAACTGCCCACAGTCTAGTGATTTGTGCGTTCGATCATGTTTGTGGTCCTGCAGATGAGTGATGTTAACGCTGGCGAGCGTCGTTCTTATGATTATGTCCATCACTCAACGTCATTCAATAATTATACACCTTTTAACTAGAAGATTTCAACTGTTAATAGCATTATGGTTTTTAATATTGACCAATCATATTTATACGAAACATACAGATATTGAGTCCGAAATGATAACTTAATATGTGTACGATTCGTCTTGTGTACCAAGTGACTTATACCCCCCCCCACTCACATACAACAACAACAACAGCTTCCTGTTGTATTAGCACATTTCTCGCCATAAGAGTCGAGTTATCACAGCTGCGATCATGGCTGACCAATCTAAAGGTGAATAACACTTGAAATGTCAATCTTATGATGTTGTGAAAGCAATATCTCGTTTATTTTTTGTTATGGTGTTTTAGATCAGAGTTTTTTCTGGTCTGGGGTTCGACTCTCTTTCCTTTTGACTCCTTCCTTCACTGTCAGTAAAACTAATCCGATTGAATCTCTCTCTCTCTCATTTAACTCTTATATAATTGGGGATATATTTAGTTGTATTATGTTAGTTCCCAACCAATATAGGAGACCCTAGGCCTGGTCGAGGACTGGGCCATGGGGTCGCTAAGCCCCGAAAACACCTCAAGGTAACCATTGTGCGATAAATTGTGGTGTGGGGTAGACACGGCTGAGGCCAAGTAAATTTTTTGGGGGGGATGTGGTCAGGATTCACGTCGTCTCGTTCTCCAGGTGGTTAGCCAAGGGATTTTTAAAGCCTCACCAACCTTACAAAGTCTTAGCTTAGCCAGCCTTATATGCAGTTTTAACAATTAAGAAAAAAGCATCAAATTTAAACAGATTAATTTTTTTAACAATTTAAAAAAATAAACAAAATATAAAAAAAATAGAGAAATGAGCTTGCTCAAAATGCTCATACACGATTTGACGTCCCACTCATCGAGCACTCGACTGGCTAATGATTACAGTTTCCTAATGTATATCTTTTGTTAGGTTAGGTTGGCTTGAATCAGAAATTTTAAACTGCACGAAGTAGCCATTAACTCGGTCTTAGAGCTGACCTCAGACTGGAAATGATACGAGCTGCTTCGTACAGGTAACAGTTCGCTTACAGATTTTAAAGCCTGACCTTACCAACCCTAATAATATAGATAATAATACTAATACTAATAGTTTATTCATAAAATATGCATATATATATATATATATATATATATATATATATATATATATAAGATTGTTAGAAGTAAATTTAAAGGTACAGGAGTTGCATATTTTATTTTATTTTTTTATTTTTTATTTTATTTATATATGCAAGAGTTCTTACATTCTTGTAAAGCTACTAGCACGCATAGCATTTCGGGCAGGTCTTTAATCGTAATTTTTCCCGGAATATGACCCGCCAAATTGTTTAGCAACCAGGTACCAATTCACTGCTAGGTGAACAGAGACTACAGTTAAGGATTGGGGCCCAGTCAATCCTCCCCAGCCAGGATACAAACCTAGGCCAAAGTGCTCGAAGTGCTAGGGGAGTGATTTACCACTGCCCGACAGGGACTGCCCTAAATTAAATAAAGCTTCTATTAATAGCTCTACAGTATTTTGCAATTCATATTGCAAAATATGAAATTTATAGTACAGTATATAAAAGTAGGTTTTATGAATGATATGACCAGTGTATAAAAAACTGTATTTACCTGAATTTACCTGAGAGCCATCATCTCCAGTGGCCTAGATGGAGAGAGGACTCTGGCAGCTTGTCAAAGGTTCCCTCATTATTCTCAAGACATTTTACCAGTAGAATTTTTAACCGGAGTACCGTCTTATTATTTATGGCTTTGACAACTTGTCAGAGAATCCCCCTCCCCCCTATTCCTCCTAAGAAATGTACTTAAAGGAAGCCATGAGATCAGCCCTGTCATACATGATTTTTAGTGTTAATTCCGAAGCCCTCACCCTTTCCGTGTATGAGAGTTGGCTTAGCTTTGGAGTGCACCAGAGATCTGTACCGTTCAATAACCACTTTCTTTTCTTTAAAGTCAATGGCTCGTTTCATTATTCCTAAGGGATTTTTGGCATTGTTTTATATTTCAGCTCTTGACTTACTGAGCAACTTGAAATGACTGGTGGCATAATTCTGTTCTTATCTTTCTCAATCTGCCACATGCTCACATTACTAATATGGTAGGTATGAAGCATGTTATATGACTAGCCCTTAATTTATTCTCTTCTACTTCAAACATGTGTGTGGGTATTGGGATGTCATTTGTTTTATGGCAAATACTGAGGTAAAGTATTCCTTCAGCATGTTGGCTGCCATTTGTTGTCGATTATAACTTGGTTTCTCTCATCTCAAGGGTCATAATGTAGTTTTTTTTTTGGAGGGGGGAGGGGTTCCTCTTTATATAAGTGTAATAGGACTTGATTGCAGTCAAGTCCTCCAGCTCTTGTTTGCAGTCAAGTAATCCAGCTCTTGTTTGCAGTCAAATCCTAATGCTCTTGTTTGCAGTCAAGCTCTTGGAAAGGCAAGTGGTAGCCTCGTAGATAGAATTTCCCTTCCATTATCTTTTCTCATTCCTATGTTTGCTGATACCAATAATATTAGGATTCTGAGCCTTGGTACATGTACACAATGTGTCAAATTTATTTATTAGGCTTCTGGCATTTGAGAAAAAAGCATTATAAACATATGACATTGTTCTTAGGGGAGTGTGAAATTGGTCATGCATTCTGCACACAATTTTTCTGCATATTGTCTAATTGGATTTGTGCCTACTTTATTGTACTCCAAATAGGCATAATCATAGACTGAGAGACTGACAGGTTACTGTGTTGAGCCTTCAAGTCAAGAGTTCATCTTGTCGCATTTATTTTATAATACTGTAGTGTGTTTACAGCTAGCCTTGGTTTTCTCTTCCTTTTCCTTCCTTCTCATCCACTAGAGTGACAAAAAGGTAAATTGGATATTTATTAAACTTAAGATTTTGGCAGAACTGTTACATCCAGCTGGCAGTGACATAACACTGAATGAGAGAAGCTTAAAGTTGGACAGCTTTAGATTGATTGATTCATATACTGTACAGATGTTAAGGTAAATACAATGAGATTTATAATACAGTAAATATGGTTGAATTTGTTAATAATTATAGAAAAGTAGAAAATGATTGCATCTTTCAATTAGGTATTTTATTAATTTTGTTGTAATTCAATTTTAATTGGTCTTTAGTATTTAATGAGTCATGTGAATAGTAAGACATTGTATCCCCGGCAGACAACCCATTACACATATCGTGGCATGACAGCATGTGGGTGCCTCACCTTAACTCGACCAACATCATGGAGTACTTCGGTGAGAGGACGAACCCTTTCTATTCAAGGGACTGCAACAACGAATTCATCAAGATGCAGCAAAACACGAGGGTCGATCAGCTCACGTAAGCTTTTGTTTAATTTTTACAACCCCATAAAAATGAGCTCTGATCCAAGAAAATTATTTCTGTATTTATGCATTTTAATAATGAAAATATTTATACAGGTACAGTACTTAATTCTAGAAATATTTAGATTAACCAACCAGTGTCTGGTTTGTGTAAGGTCTCCAGATCATCCGTCTGGTGGTTGGATAATGTTCAAAGATAATTTGGATAAATAGGGTATCATAACCTAGTGAGACAGTGGGCCCAGTTTGATTAGGGGTCTCGAGATGTGAAAGGTGGTAGGGTATCTTGGAGAGAGCCTCGACTGGGAAACTTTTTGATTTTCTAATTCTCCAGATTATATGTACTGTGTATTGTTGCACTGATAAGTCTTGATTAGTTTAGGTAATCAAGAATGTACTGAAGAAGTTACCAAATACTGTATACTAAATTACTGTACTGTACTTTTTTTTATTATTTTTTTATGTTAACATTATCTATTAACACATCAGTTAACTGAAGATAAGTAAGATATGCAGGTTTTTAAACTTGCACCAAAATTCAGCTGGGGAGATTGTTTTGAGAACTCGTCTTTCAAAATTTCTTCACACGAATAGTAAACTTAGCCTCTGTTCTAGGGCTCATGCCTGTCTGAGCCCTAGAAAATAACAGCAGGCTTGTATGAAGAGTGATGGAAATAAATGAACCAAAAGCATTGGAAGTGTTGAAATGTTTTAAGGGGGGGGAATGTTTGATGGGTAAAGTGTTTGAAGCAAAGCCTGGAGGAAATAAGAATGAAGAGTGAAATGAGGAACCTGTCGCCTTCATGGAAGGCAACATAATAAAGAGAACAATGAAACCCCTTACAGGCGAATCATCTTCAATAAAGTCTACTCTCAAACTAGGTGTTTCTCTACATACATGGGTAGGAGTTGGAGAGGGATAGTTGGGCTCCTAATAAATTAAAATTGGTATAGTTCAATGAATGTCACTGGTGTAGTTTTTGGTGTTTTTTGCATAATATTCAGATTTGAAAAGGTGATGATTGCATTTGTCCCATTTGACATCAGAAGTGAGAATGGGAAAAAAAAAGTTTGATATTAACATGTTATAGAATCAGTTACAGGTGATTTGAATGGGAAAGTGCGATTGCTTCCTGAGAATGAAACGATGGATGATAAGGTGTGCAAAGAGTAAACAACAATGACTGCAGACTGTAAGATATACAGTATATGGGGTTGCACCCTTGAAAAGGTCAGTAGTTCGACTTAAGGGGACCTTGATACAAGCCTAAGGTACATACATACAGTCTTCCTGTCCCCCAACAATGGTAATTATATAACATTAAAGAAGTTATGAATTACTAATAGCCACATATTTTAAGAATGCAAGTCATTAAATGGAAGAAAAAAAAAGAAAGTCAAAATAACTATTGGTATGTGCATATGGAGAGGAGAATATTGAAATATTTTTTATATCAGAGTCGTACAAGGTAAAATTTATATATTAAAATTAATCAATCATCTACATTTTAAAGGTGCATGAAGGCAGTCTATATTAAATCCCCTTGCACAGAACTGGGACTCTACTGTTCTGTCTGATGTCAAGCTCCTGCTAGAACTATCCATTTTTGAGGGGCTGAACTATAATAGAATCTACCCCACATATTTACTGAAGAAGTTCCATCATTTGCAAATGGGGGAAGAAGAAGAATGTGAAGAGGTTGAGGAATCATTTAGAGAGCATACTTTGCACATGGTGAATGTGTTAGCATGCTTGATTTTGAAAATGAGAGATTCTGAGTCAATACCTCCCCCCCCCCATCCCCAGTTTGAGTGCAACTTTGCACAACTTTGTATAATTTTTACTTGGAGCAATGCAGTATAAAATATGTTCATTTCTCCCCACAGCCACATGCAGGGAGTGGAATATATGCTGCTGCACACACAGGAGCCCATTCTCTACATCATCCGCAAGCAGCAGCGTTTCTCCCCAACACAAGTCAATCCTCTTGCCAACTACCACATCATCGGCGGACAAGTATTTCAGACGCCAGATTTGGGCTCTGTCATCAACTCTAGAGTGGTGAGATAATGTCTCTGTCTCCAGTATGTTATTTCCTGCTTGACAAGAGCATGCAGGTAGGCAGTTGAAGGGAGTATCCAACCATTCCTGTTTTCTCAAAACTTGATACACTCATACTTACACCCATAACATAAGAATCAAGGAACTGAAGGCCTATTTGCCTACATGAGGCCACTGCTGTTTATTTCTGCCCAAACTCCTAATATATATGTCTAACCTATGCTTCAAGCAATCTAATGATCCCACATTCATTATGTTGCTTGGCAATTTGTTCTGTAAATTGACAACACAGTTTCCAAACCAGTATTTACCCAGTTTTTTTTTTAGTCTAAACGTCTGCAATTAATATAATTTGTTTTGAGTTCTTTTTTGTATTGATATATTTAAAATCTCATTTATGTCCCCTTTGGTTATACCCTTTTATCCATTTACCATATATTAAATGGATTTACTGTATGGTAAATCTATTTAATGGATTTACCATTACTGTACTTCATATTTATATATCTATATTGATTGTGGTGTACCATTGTCAAGGACAGGAAGGCTGTTAGTCATATTGAGGTCCTCTGATCAGTGCTTACACTGAGTTTGTTTACTGTTAACTATTGCAAAGCTTTGGCTAATTTAACTTCTTGGTACACTATGTTTTGAAGTTCTGCCTTCTATTCTTCCTCCAATTCTTCCTTTTCCTGCTCATAATTTTTCCTGCTCTTCCTTTTCCCCTTCTTATCCTTTCTCTTCTTCTTTCATTGAATTTACCACAAAAGACTTTTTCTTATATTTGTAGCCCTTTTCTGTTTGATTACATCATTACTAGGTATTCTTGTTTAATTCTTCTCATTTGTAATTTACTTCTCTTCTATCATTATTGTCATAAATGTATCCTTCACAGCTGGCAGCGGTAAGCAACCTGACAAGCGCTTTCACAGAGATGCAGTCCTTCTCACACTATCACCCATCGCGCGGATATTGGTGGCAGTTCCGAAATCAGTTAGAGCAGGCTGAGCAGCAGAAAAAGGATAAGGAGAAGAAGGTAACTTAAACATTATCTTGGTGTTAGATTAGATTTGCTAAATGTTGGGTATATGTTGTGTTTACAAAGGTCATCGTATATGTGCATCCAGGGGTAGGGTGGAGGTAGAAGATAGGTGTATGTACATCTCATACGTATTTGAGAAGGCTCGGAAGATTGAGAAAATTATCCCCTATAGAGCTCCTGTTTTCGTATATTGCATTTTTCTTAATACTATCCAGAAATTTGTGTTAATGAAGCTACTGTATCAGTTGTTACTTCAAATTCAATTTTTATTTTCCTTAATTAAAGCACATTTATTAAAATAATTTTATTTATACAAACCAATAGGAATTTCTTTCCATAACTAACTGGAATTTGCTTATGGATATTTGCATAGAATGGAAAATATCCAAAAGAAAATTAAGAATAGTCACATTGTTCATGTTTTTCTTCACTGAAGCAGGAAATTGAAAAATTAACTCTCCAAAGTTCATTTTTACTTTTTATTGGGTCTGATGCCTAGTGATGCATTTAATAAGGTCACTAAACTCCTCACATTTTCAAAGACCTTTCAAATTCAAGACATGTTAAAAATTTCAGGACTGGTGTTTCTGACTACCTGTCGTGTTTGTATAACTTATGTTAGATCATTTACTTGCTTGCATTGCCTCTCGGTTCTGCACTACACTCTTCATCTCGAGTACTGCTGACACATATATACTGTTTGTTTGCACAAACTACTCATTGAACATTTACTCAACTCATTTTGTTCTTCATGCTTATCAAATATTCATAAGACATTACTACAGGTATATACAGCACTTTTTTATATACTTAACCCCACATATGTTGCATGCCTCGCTCAAATGTAAATTGTGTGCAACCCGCCCCTTTCCTTCTTGAGGTTATCTTGAGATGATTTTGGGGCTTTTAGTGTCCCCGCGGCCTGGTCCTCGACCAGGCCTCCACCCCCAGGAAGCAGCCCGTGACAGCTGACTAACACCCAGGTACCTATTTTACTGCTAGGTAACAGAGGGCATAGGGTGAAAGAAACTCTGCCCATTGTTTCTCGCCGGCGCCCGGGATCGAACGAAGGACCACAGGATCACAAGTCCAGTGTGCTGTCCACTCGGCCGACCGGCTCCCTCATATAGGGGGAAGAGTGTTGAAAAGTTTAGGCATTTGATGAACATCGGGTTCTCCCTCAACTTGCCTATTGCACCTCTACTTTTCACTCGAGCTATTTTGCTCATCTTGACATGCCTTCTGATCTCACGGTGTTATTTCTATGTGCAGATTTGGAACCAGCCCCTCTAATATTTTCCAAATGTAAATTATTATGCATCTCCCACCTGCACTCTAGGGAATACAGATTTAAAGTTTTTAGGCAGTCCCAATAATTGAGAAGTTTTAGCAAGTGGATTCTAGTGGTAAAAGATCTTTGCACACATTCCAGGTCAGCAATTTCTCCAGCTTTAAATGGGGCTGTTAGTGTGCAATAATATTCCACTCTAGCGAGCACCATCTTAAAGAGTATCATCTTTGTCATGACATTTTTTTTGTTGGTAAGTTCTTTTTATCCAATCTGTCATTTTTCTTGCAGTTGTGACAACCTTTGCTGTGTTCTTTAAATGTAAGGTCTTCCAACAAGATTACATCTAAATCTTTCACATCACATTTTCTTTCAATAGTGTGGTTTGACTTATACAAGTGGTTTCTGCTTTGATGTTTTTGTTTTTTCATAATGCAGTAACTGGAATTTATCCTCATTAAATGTTATTTTCTGTGGCCCATTGAAAGACTTTATTAACACCAGATTGGAAGTGTGCCATGTCCTCTATATTGTCTACTCTCATGAAAATTTTTAGTGTCATCTGCAAAGGATGGTACAGTATTATAAATTTTATATCCTTGTCTATATCTGATATGAGGATGAGGAAAAGTAGCGGAGCAAGCATGGTACTTTCAGGAACTGAGCTTTTAACAGTGCATGATTCAGATTTTACTTTGTTGACTATTACATTCTGGGTTCTGTTTGTTAGGAACATATCCTTACATATTAGGAACATCCTTAGGATGTTCCTTAGTTTGTTAGGAACATCCTTACATGTATAATATGCCCCACTCCCTGGGTCATACACATTACATGCATTAGGTACCCCCCACCCCTACATTCTTGCTTTAATTGCACACTACCATTCTATACCCAAAGTGTTGACATGTTGATCAATTACTAGGCTGATGTGTTTTAGTTTAATACACATATCCACATCTCTTTTCTATAATACTTCCATTGTACACTGCTCACGTTCATATGCTAGTGATAGACTCAAGGTAATATTTCACTAAACTGTGTAAACTTTTAAAATAGTGTTACTGAACCTTTTCATGCATTTTGAGTCAAACAGGATTCAATTCCATTCTTCTTGCATCCCATGTACTCTGTTGGATCTAATTGACCTCGTGGTTTTAGTACCTAGGTTCTAAGTTTTCATCCATACATTGGAGTACTGAATGCTGTACTCTTGTTGTGACTAGTCAAAAAGCTTAATGCCTACAGTGGTTGCATCCCCTGTATAACTAAATGCTTTATCAGCATTCTTTATCCTAAACACAAGTTGACTTTAGACAGATTGTGGAAAAAACACCAGTTGCTGAGTATGGTTTTTTTGTTTATTCATTTTGCAAACAAGATTTCTGGTGTATTGATTAACGTGAGTTAGTTATCATTGGTTAACTTGAGAGCTTTGCTCTGCACAGTTTGTTGTCTTCACAGTTTTCTTGAGGTTCTGTCCATAAGCTCACTGTTAATACTGTACCAAAATACAGTACCAAAAACTGTTTTCAGGTTGGACAGGGAAGGCGAGTAGACCCAGGATCTGCATTCCAGCGTCGACGGGTGGATTCTCTGTTAGAAGACCTTCATGCCAAATTTCCATACAAGTTCCCAAATCAGGCACAGCAGCCAGCACAGCAGTCAGCACAACAACCAGCACAGCAGCAATCACAGCAGCAACAGCAATCCCAGCAACCAACACAACAGGATGGTGTGAAGACAGGTATTTTGTCCATATTTGCACAGTAAGATTTTGCTTTTTCATCAGAGCCCATCAAGTGGTTTATATTCAAAATAAAATAACTAGTCATCAGTTTATGGTCATATGGCATCTAGTCACGAGCACGAAGTATATTCTGATGACTGGACGCCGGCGAGCTGTATATATACGGGCCAATGACATCAGAGATGGCGCGAACCTTGTGGGTACCCATCGGCCGTCAGTTAAACAAGTGGTTAGCGAGTAGCTTCTGGGGCCCCTGTCCAGATACTCAGGTGGAAGGAGGAGGGGGGGTGGGGGGGTGTATTTAGACACCCAGTGCGTTTGAGCATGTATTGTTGTTGATGTTGAAGCATGTAGATACGTTGGTGAATAGGCGGTAAAGGAACAGGCCAGCCCACTGCTAGGCAGGGCATTACCGTAATAATGGTCATAGCAGTTTTAGTCTGGCATCTAGCATAAACTGACTACAGGTCAGGTGGTACTTCTGAATGGAGAGATGGCCACACTGTAGCTACTAACGGATTGTCTTGCAGAAGCTACTCTTAATAGAATAAACATTAGCAGCACTATTAATAACAGCCACTGAGTGCAGAGAATAATTCACAATAACATGGCTGCAACAAATATCCCAACCTACACATAGCAAATGAAAGTGACGATGATAAAGATCCTGGACTTGATAAAGATCAAGGTTGGATCAAGTCATCAGTTACATTTTATTCATATGCATGGATTAAGCTTTTATTGAAGGGAATTAACGAGAGTACTAGGTCTTGTATAGAGCTCTGTTAATGAGTTGGTAGGCAAATGGTACCTCTGGCACTTGACAGATTAGTTAAAACCATCGAGAGCTGTTGAATATAAAGAAATATGCAGCAACATTATTATGTAGCTTGACCTGAGGATTTTATATCATTACTTGGAGTCAGTTCCAAGAGTTGTTGTAGTCTCCATGCTTACTCTGGGACCAGGCTCATTTTACAATAACTTGATCTAAGAGTGTGTTGCTTGGAGCAGCCTGTAGGTCCACATCACCATTACAACCTGGTTAGTCCATGAGGCATTTTGTGGCTCTTGAGCTATGATACCACTCATGGCTTCCATATAACCTAATGTAATCAGTCTACTTGATTGATTCATTGTATGGCATGGTTCAGATTTTAAAAATATTAGAAAATGATGAATTATAAGAGACAGACATTCACATCATGAAAAATTAGGATATATCAGGTACAAATGATGTTTGTATTGTGCATATTTGACTTAGATATTTGATTCTTGATTTCTGTGGATTGTTTTATCATATGTAATAAGCCAAGTTTACTAAGCATGGCATTTTCATGTAACTCCCTGGTAAAGTTAAAATTTTTAATACTTGGTATTAACACTGCTGAAATCTGTCGTCGTACAGACTGTCAATTTAGGTCATCCTCTCTGATAATTGACGAGCTCATCAATGTGAAAGTAGTCTCTGTAGGGCTGACAATCACAGTGAACCCTTCAGAGACCGTAGTCTCTGAAGGGTCAGTCTCGCTGGCGAGCCTTCCGAGACAGGAGATAATGTGACTGGCGAGTGTGGAAGATGTAATTGGATTGGTGGTATCTTTAACCTCCTTACCCAATACTGCTAGTCTAGCTTCTCTGGACAGACTGTCTTCTCATCACTTCATAGAAATTGGTAGTGCTGTACTGTATGTTTGGAGCAAATAGGTCAGAGTATAATGCATGGTAGTTAGATTTGATGACTTGTATGGACCTGAGTAATTCTGCCCATGCTCCCTCCCTCCAAGGCATTGTTAGTCAAAGTTTTTGGAGTGTTCATAAAATTTTGGTTTATCTCCTATACAGACGACACCAAAGCGGACATAAAAACAGATATCAAGACTGAAGTGAAAGTGGAGGTGAAGACCGAACCGTCATCACAGCCAGTGACACAGCGCTCTGTCAAGCCTCCACCGGAGAAGAGACAGCGTACTGGACCCTAGCCCTTGGGTAAATTGTATTTTTATTTTTTTTAATCACTACACACATTCTTAGAATGATTATTTGTTAATGGAAAACCATTATTCACTTTATCATGTGCGTGAATGGCTAACACCTGATTTTCCCCACCAGTCACTGGTTAAATGTATCTAGTTAATTCAAAACTTTATAAAAAGGTCTAATATTGTGACAGGAGATACCAACACTAGTATTGAAGGCATATTTATCCAGGGTGCATATTTTGTCATCTTAATTACAAATTAGTTTGATTTTGCCCTGTATTGAGTATTTTTTGAACTGCATTATCTTTGTAAAATGTTCCAAGCAGATTTCTTCATCTTACCATATTGAATAATATTTGAAGGTTTGATCCTAATGTATATTCTTACATTTACAGCCCTGTGTAGTAATGTCTTAAAAAGCTGCCTCTGGAGCCACGTGTGCAAGATTATTGAAACGGCTGCCAGTAACGTTGCTAAATGAATTGTTTTTCACATGCCTGAAATCATTCCCCATGGCAAACAAAGTTGTAACTATAATTCTTGGAATTTCAATATAATTCATGTATACAGTAATGAGCTTTGTTAGGGCAAATCAAGTGTAATAATTTTGATCATATTGATCTAGAAAGCAAGGCGTGTGGGGACAATAACCAACGTTACTTCCATACAATCTGCTTTATTTGACGTTCTTATACTGTCATTTCAAAAGACCAATAAAATATTTTATTAATTTCCATTTTCTTGTCAAGAATACAGATTTTTTTTGTAGTTGTCAAGGAAACTTTACCTCCGGCAACTGCCTGCAACACGTGACTTCATTCACATCACAGTTCAACGCTACCTGCAGAAAAATGTTAGTCAATTTTTATTTTTGGCTAGAAGCATTTAGGTCTTAAATTGCTGATAACCCTAATAGTTTTTGTCACATCTTTCAGTTGTTTGTTGCATCTCTATCTAGCATGTTCTAGTGAGTTCAGCCCCAGTTTTTTAACACTTGGGCTGCACTAGATGATAGTGGAACTAGAATGCATTATATAACCCAAGAATAACTTTACCAAAATCATGTACTGATCGAATAGGCCCCCGTACCTTGAAAGTAGGCCCCTGCATTGGTACACGTTATCAGCAGTGGGCAACAGAATCTATTATCATCCCAAGCAGTGGTTCCAATAATTGGCAATTAGCCTTCCTTGAAACTAACACACACTTACCATATGGTAGAAAAAGGTAAGTGTGAGGGTTTTCAAGGAAGGCCAATTGCCAATTATTGGCACCACTGCTTGGGATGATATTCGATTCTGTTGCCAATTGCTAATAACATGTACAAATGCAGGGGCCTTCTTTCAAGGTACAGGGGTCTATTCGATCAGTACATGATTTTGGTAAAGTTATTTTTGGGTTGTATAATGCATTCTAGTGCCACTATCACTTAGTGCAGCCCAAGTGTTAGAAAACTGGGGCTGGACTCACTAGAACATGCATGAGAGATGCAACAAACAATTGAACGTTAAAAAAGTTGTGGATGTGTCGTCGTCGTCTCACATCGATCCTAATAACAGGACATTGATCCTCTGGTACTACAGTACCTGCATCAACTATATTAAGAAGTAATATACTTACTCCATACTCATTAGGTTCATGACATGAGAGGTTATGTAAAATTAACAGATCCATATCTCCAAGTGTTCCACATTTCCAAGAAATTGTACGCTAATTCTTGGTCCACTAATTACATTTTCCAAATTTACAACTAATTACAGTTAATCTCTCCTCCCAACCTGCTAGTTGTTGGCCACCTTGGCCAAACTGACCAACATCTAGCAGATTGGGAAGAGAATAATTGTAGTTAGTTGTACACTTTGAAATTGTAATTAGTGGACCAAGAATTAGCGTACAACTTCTTGGAAATGTGGAACACTTAGAGATATGGATCTGTTAATTCTACATAACCTCTCATGTCATGAACCTAATGAGTATGTAGCAAGTATATTACTTCTTAATATAGTTGCTGCAAGTACTGTAGTACCAGTCACCACACTTGGCATCAAGCAGGCAACAGAAGCAAACACAAGGAAATAGTGCTGGCTTGACCCAGCACTATTTCTTTGTGTTAAGACTTCCACACAAATGTAATGAGTAACCTGATAAAGAAAATATTTAAAGTTTGGCAAGAAAATCTCATAATTGACCCCATGAAAAGCAAAAAACTATTATGCAGCCAAAACCAGTAGTAACCTTCTACTAAATTTACAGGAAACCGACTTATTGTCTTGGTAGACCTCTAAACAAGACTGACTTTACCAAAATCTATAACTAATACTGACTGAAATAAACTGTTACAGTAGAATATTTGAAAGTAATTGTGGAAGTTAAACCTTATCTTAAGGTATTTAGCACTTACAAGTATTAGGGTGTGCATGTGTCTCAGTGGCGTAGTTCTTTAAGGACCAACACTCCAGACAGCATTGTTGAAACCGAGCAGAAATAGACCATGGCCAACACAGTCCTTAGTGACCTGAAAATTGGCCCGAATTCCCACATGTTCTGCAAGAGAAATTGAACATATTAACACAAGAAAATTCTCAGAGAAAAAGAAACATGTAAGCACCCACAATTCTATAATTATCAAAAGAAATATTCTGAAAGAGAATATATACAGATGAAAACCTAAATGTTCTGCAATAACACCCACAAACTCTACACAAAAATAGGAGTGGATTAATACCACTTACTTGTAGAGAACATGCTTAATACTGTACAAGCACATGTTACAAAAAGGAAAAATATTACATGTTCTCCATTAAAGTGGATGCCTGCATATCTGACAATAATATATATATGAATGAACACCCACATGTCCCAGAAGTGAAGGTGATGCACTTCTGGGACATACCACACACAGAGATCACAATAACGTGATGCATTAAATGAACAAATTGTCGTAGCTCAGTCGATTAAGGCAGTGTCTGGGATGCTCCCGGACGCAGGTTTGAATCCTCGTCACGGCCCTTGTGGATTTGTTCATTTGTTCTGGGACATAGTTGCAAGACATGCACATTTGCAACAGAAGGTGAACAAGTTGACACTATCCAGTGTTGCCATTAGAATGACTTCTACACAATCATCTTGCCCAATACAGTTACTTAGGTTTTTCTTAGTTTTGGAATTGGAAACACACACATCCTCTGAAAGGTGGAACTGAACATGGGAGTGAAGGTGTTAGAACAAGGGGTATGAAGAGAGGTGGCAATGGTGAGGTAGGATAGATTGAAAGGATAGTGAGGGGGCAAGGAAGATATGGGTTGGATGTAGGCATTTTGGGGGTGGCAGATTTAATCGGACAGGTTCAAACACATAAATGAGACTCAAGCCTGCTAATTTAAAAAAATGTATATATATTGCAAGGATGTAAATTTAAGTAAACAAAAAATGCCGTGCAATCATATAAACATCCAGTGCATTTACTTATTCTTGGTTAAGTTTAACCATATAATGAAATCTTGTATAAACCAACAAAGTAAACACATTATGATATTATACGATGACTATTTGGCAGCACTTACAATATTAGGAGGCCTGGTCGAGGACCAGGCCGTGATGACGTTGAGCCCCGAAATCGTCGCAAGCTAACCAACAGGTATGTATCCACCTACATTAGGCACTGTGTATTCAATGCTTCCTACATTATAGCTACTTAGGTATCAGTGGCCAGCCAGGTGGAGATCACAGGCTGTACAATACTGATAAATTATGTAATTCACAGAGATACGTTGATAAATATTAATGTTTTATATTTTATTAAAAATACAGATATACACTTTGTTTCATACGTTAAATGTAACAATATTTCAGTATATATTATATAAGCATAGTATATATAATTCAGTATATACAATATATAATAAGAGTTTCAGACCACGGAGGAAGAATTGAAACAGGAATTTCCTTTAGTACTTTCTTATATTAATACATCTTCAGAGCGAACCATTCCTTCTGAAGATGTATTAATATACGAAAGTACTTAGAGCATTCTATTGTGGTTTTAATATTGAACAATTATACATATACGAAACAGACAAATCTGGTGTCCGAAATAGTAAAAATATTAGTGTGCGATGTGATCAATGTAAGGGTGTGGGTGTGCCTCGTATCCCCTACAACAAGAAGAAGTTCGAGAGCGATGAGGCCGCCACCTACTAGCTTCAGGATGTCGTCGAATCTAAATCAACAATATACTACCGCCGCTACTTTCTCGGAAACGTAAGTACCTGCCGCTTTACTTCTCTCACCCTGCCTAGCCTGGCCTGGCCTGACCTGGCCTAGCCAGACCTGACCAGACCTGACCAGACCTGACCTGGCCTAGCCTTACCTAGCCTAGTCTGACCTGGCCTAGCCTTACCCAACACTAATCACCACACGTGACAGCCCAAACGAATCGCAAATAAGTACACGTAACAAGTCATATGCCCGGACACTCTTTCACCTTGGGGACTGAGTGGTAACTATTGTATAGAAGAGCCGGCTCCCTGAGAGTGGTAAGAGGGCGTGATAAGAGGCTAACGTGTGGTCTTGAAGGAAGTCGATAAAGCAGACAATTTTCAAAAGGAAGGGCAGCATAACGAGCAGACAGGAATGGACAGACTGTCGGTTATCCCATAATGTGTAATACGCCACGCACAGCATGGGTGGAGTGGGGGGGGGGGTTGTAGCAGGGCACAGTATGGTGATGGTGCGGGTGAAGTACACACCCACTGAATTCCTGCCATCAATAATTGTTTTCATAACCATTAGAACAATGGATCCCTCCAGCCACCATCCTTCCACTGACCCCCTCCTCTAGTCCGCCACCTCAGACAATAACCCCCCACACCCCCTCTCCCTTCCAGACATCAGCATGTCAAAATCAGTACCATAATGTGTTTAAACTATTTAAACTAAGTCATTGTGTATCTCAAGGTATCTTAATTCATTTGAAAGTGTACATGTGCATTCGTTCATATACTCGCCTAATTGTGCTTGCTGGGGTTGAGCTCTGGCTCTTTTGTTCCACCTCTCAACCGTCAATCAACAGGTGTACAGGTTTCTGAGCCTATTGGGCTCTATCATATCTACACTTGAACCTGTGTATGGAGTCAGCCTCCACCACATTACTTACTAATGCATTCCATTAGATATAATCATATATGATTACACATAATCATAATCATTCTATACACATAATCATATATGTGTACGTCAACGTATACATACATGCGTATATATACCTCATATTAAAATACTGATAAACGAATGACCATGAACAAATTAATTTATAATTGTAGCATTATATATAATTTTAATAGACTAATTACGTGTTTATACATTTGAATGGTCCAGACAGGTGGCCAGCCTTGGACATATACACTTCTGGTAGGCACAATGACCTCATGTTAGACCCTTGATAGATTATGTGAGAGAGAGAGAGCTGGGGCAGGGAGGTGCGTGCCCCAGGGAGATAATCCATGCCCATGCCCCGCCTCGAGGTCAGTTCTCGAGTCACACCAAGAATAACAATCGAGCAAGTTGTCCTGACCAGGATGTGGCATATTAGGGAGGGTTGAGGAATAGGAAGCCTGTCTGATAGGGCTCTTGGCAAGCAGCTCTCCCTCAGTCTACCTAGCTATATGGATGAAATGTATCTAGGCCCTCCTCCCCCCTGCCTATTCTCTCTCCCCCACCTTTCTTCCTTCA